CCCCCCCCCCCCCCCCCCCCCACCTAGAAATTAACGTGTAGTGACAAAATCATGTTTGCTGGGCGGATTTTTCATTTCTGATTTAAGGGAGAGATCGTGTTCAGTGTTTCTCAATGCTCCCTTTGCTGAAGTCCCTCTAGGATGGACGCTTCCCTGCACTGAGTTAGGGTCTACAGTTAAACCCTAAACCCTAAACTGCGGGGTCTAGGGTCTAGGAGGGCCAGGAAGTGTCTGGGATTTGTTGGCTTTGGGTCTCGGGGCGTAGCTACACCCTAAACCGGCCAAACTTCATAGTTCTTTCCTGCCCCCAACCCGCTCCAGGCCCGAAACAGTGTCTTGCGCAGCGTGGATATAGGAAACTGAGATTGTGCATCTTCATAGGTCTATACAAATCGTCTATGTAGCCCCCCCAAATATACATAGTAAAGTATTTGGCAATTTCTTTTCAATCATCCTATATGGCAATTTCCCTAAATAGGGGGACCCCAATATAGACCCCAAAATACTATAATCCGTATTATGGGGACCCCAAAATGGTACCCCTAATTTTGGGAATCCTCCATATAGCCCAAGATTAGGGCTTAGGGTTTAGGGTGTAGGGCTTAGGGTTTAGGATGCCAGTGTCGGTTTGGTGATCCACCGCAATGCCCTCGATTTCCTTGTAGTACAGGTTTTGGGCAAGTGTATGACTATTGAGTACTTGGACCATTAGGGCATAGTGCCTTGAGAAGAAGCCGCCGCCAAATACCGTAAATCCCGTTAATCTGTCTCTTTGGTGCCATCACGACTCACTACCTGGGACGCACTTCCCTCCCCTCATAAGAACGACCCGTAATAGCGTAGAATTTTTTATATCAGGGCGAATGTTCATTACAAAGGGGGTGAGGGGGTTCATTATGAGGGGAAGGTGATTCAGTTCCGACACCGCTTTGGCGCCAACAAAACGCTTCACCATGCCAAGAGGTGGCAGGTCGCATTGCTGGAAATCAAGTACTAGCACCAAAATCTCAATTGCGCAATTACAACCCCAAATCCTAAATTCTGAATCCTAAGCCCTAGACCCTAAACCCTGAACCTCATTGGGTACATGGACCCTTGGGGATGGGTCATGGGACGGCTGGACTCAGGTATCCATGCCGGAGTTCTTTGATGTTGCCTGGCCCCACATGGACACAATGCCCTGAACCGAAGACCTGAGAAGCAAACTTCAAACACAGATGAGCTATAGCCTAAACTCCTTAAAGGGGGTTATACAGGGGAGTATTCAAAGGGTTCGAAAAGGGGGATGGCGGGAGTTCAACCCAAAGCCATAAACCCCAGTGTTATTAGGGGGGATACACGGAGTTTAGACTATACCTCAGATACGCCCAAAAACATCAAGCCTTAAACCTCGATGCTTCAAAAAAGGAAAGTGCTCAAAGTAGCTACCTAGGGAGCACAACATAGCATAACTGAGGAATCTTGAATATACCTTGAAGCATATTACGGGTCCTAGTACAATTTAAGATATATATATATGTATATACACACCTTTATTAAGCCATGTTGGGATCTCTGGGTCTATTTGAGGTACCCTAGACCATGCTTCTATAGGACTTTGGCATCAGAATGCTGATGCTTAAACTTCAGCTCCTACAATAACTTAATCCCTAAACCCTAGAAACCATTGGGATCTTCGCAGCTTCTACCTGAGAGGTCCGGCTATAACGGCTTAGGCAGACATGCAATTTGCCCATGACTCTAAGGTTCAAACCATGGGCCCCACAGGGTTTAGGGTGTAGGGGTATGGACCCTTATTCCTGAGATTCTTATATACCTATAGTCCCCCTTAAGTAGATACAATATGGGGTATATGGGGATCTTATTATAGTAGACCCAAAGCCATATTCTAGCTACTTAAGGGGGACTATAATTTCTAAATAGCTTAATGTACCCTTGATGTTCCCTAGAATCACCCTAAGGGGCCTAAGGGGCCATAGCTATTAGTGCCCGTACTTCTAGCCTTAAAATGACTCGAACCCAAGTTGAAAAAACATGATTCAAGCTAGTTCTTGAAAGGGTTGACGTATAAGTTTTGCAACTATTCCTATTGGGACGCCCTAAACCCTAAACCTTAAACCCTAAACCCTAAACCCTAAATCCTTTATCCAACTGTTGGAGCCTACCCTGCCACACTTAAGTCTCAACCCCTGACCCAAATCCTTAACGTAGTTGCCTGATTAATAAACCGCGCCCCTAAATAGGGGCTATAATGGGGATCCGTATACGGCCCTTAAAAGGCGGGGGTTTATTGATCCGGGTCTACATTAACCGCAAACCTCAAGCCCTAAATCCTAAATCTGAGAAACCTTACCTCTAAACCCTTAACTCTAAACCCTAAACCCTTAACTCTAAGCCCTAAACCCTTAACTCTAAGCCCTAAACCCTAAATCTGAGACCCTTAACTCTGGACCTCTAAAGGTCAGATCCGGCTTCCCGTCCAGCACGGGGCACACCCTTGCAGGCCTCCATGGGCGGACAAGGGTCAGGGTTTATAGGGTTTAAGGTTTAGGGTCTTAAGTAAGGTTTGTGGTTTAAGGTGTTCAGTTTTAGGGCTTAAGTTTTTCGGGTTGGGGGTTAAGGGTTTGGTGGTCAGTGTCTGAAGTATACAGCGTTTAGGGCAGTATGATTTCCCCCCATGATGAAGCGAAAGCTTGATATGCAGGGATGTAGAAGAAGGATTGGTTATGGAGCCTTAACAGAGGGTTTAGGGCTTAGGTTTCAGGGTTTAGGGTTCAGGTTTCTCAACAGCACATCATGGATCTCCAGGAGCTAATCTACTTTTAGACGGCACCCATCTACCATCTACGGCTGCCATCTTTCCGTTTAGAGCTCGCCATGGAGACATGTGATGATGACCATTCGTTCTCTGGGGCCCAGCTTTGAAATCTTAAAGATGTATCCTTGTTTCCCAGACATGGAGCCCCTGAAATGCTGAAGCCTATATTTCTCCGTATAGCCCTCATCAAACTATAGTGAATGCTACTTGAAACCCTACTCTACTTGTCGGGCTTTCCGGCAACCTCACACCCGCGACCCGCGGGTTGCCCGTACCCTTCCACACCCCTTCCCCCGCCAAAGTCGGCATAGGCGTCAACAATTGAGTAGTATTTTATTTGGGGATACCCAATGTAGAGTAAGATTATATCCTCCTTTTGGGGTATAGTATTTTATATAAGGAACGAAATCTTACTGTGTTTAACTACCAAAGAAAACACTACGTTTCCTGCGCTTGCTCTGTGCTTGTTTCCATACATTATGTCAGTTGGCTTGGCAAGCTCAAGCATCGGCGCGAGGCTGTGTTGGAGACCGGATGTTGCTTCAGGGGGCCCTATGTCTGCCCGAATCTCCTCTCCCGGTATCAAATGCCGCTCATGTCATTCACGGACTTCGGTGCGGGCGATGTCTGGATGCTTGGGCAAGCTCAAGCATCGGCGCGAGGCTTGGTTGGAGACCGGATGTTGCTTCAGGGGGCCCTATATGTCTGCCCGAATCCCGTCTTCCGGTATCAAATGCCGCTCGTGTCATTCACGGACTTCGGTGCGGGCGATGTCTGGATGGCTGGGCGCTCACACGGAACGATCATAAGGCACCAAGAATATAATTTGCCAAGCATCAAAAATAGCCTGAGCCGTAGTATCTTTCCAACTAGTGTTCTTATAGGTATTGCCACCAGTATACGTAATGTCCGTATTCGTACTGTGAGTACTACTATTCCCCATTCGCTGTATATTTTGCTAATAGTACAGCGGTCCTCAATTTTTCACGGTGCATACTTTTTGATACCGTGAGCAAGTTTTCATTGTTCTCTTGAAGTTTAAGGTCAACTTTTTCTAGATGCCTATCACATTTTTCTTGATGCGTCACCCCCCAAAGTCTCCTAAACCCTAACCACTTATGAGGGCTATTTGAGCCATAATCAGATTAAACTCCTTAAAGGGGTATATATATAGGCGATTCTATAAAGGACTATTATCGGGGTTATTAAGGGGGATACTCGGAGTTTAGACCAAGCTCCTTGTAGGATACTTGGGGTTAATTGGGGTAGGGGGTCACCTGGCCAAGACCATGGGCCTAGATGACGCGGGGCCTGCAACAATAAGGCCACTCTTTTGCGACGTCTTTAAACTAAAAGGTTTTAGGGTCTAAGGTTTAAGGTTTAGGGCGGAGTGTAGTGCAACAAGTGCTCCTATCGTTAAAAGTTCTCAACTCAGGCGAACCTCGGGGAATCTTTTCACGCGGCAAGCCCTAGATAAAGGATCTTTCTCAGGGCCCTTCGCTGGCAGAACGAAATTGGTGGAGATTTCTGCTTTTTGAAGTTCGCGGTCGGAACTACTAGTTTACGAAGGTGACTGGTGTAGAGGTGTCTTCTGATGCTTGCCAGAATCCGGCCACACACTTGCAAAATCAGGGGCACTCATCAGCAGAAGCGAACTTGGCACAGGCCTTGGCTCCGCTTGCATTGGGTAGTGGTGCCCTGGGGCTTGTTTTTTGTCGGACGAAAGATTTCTTCGAGTGGTTTTTACGAAGCCAGGCTTCAGGATGGCGGCGTTCAAAGCAAAATTGAAGTAACAAACCTCCGCAAATTTCTTCCTTATATTTCACAGAAATCGCTGGACAAAAGATTCTAGCGCGATCCAGGTATATCATGCATGTCTCATTATTTTGTTCTGGAGGTCGTTTGCGACACACGCTTCGTGCCAGTGGGTGTGCAGGCCGTAAACCTCACGGGCTCTGAAGGCTTATTGCCAATGAAAAAAACCCTCAAGGGCCGCATTGTCAGTGTATTCAAACATTATTTGGCAAGCTCCGACCGCAGTGTCGTCTTCCTGGAAGCAGACCGAGCGGTAGAATACGCCCAAAACTTCGCAGCAAACTTCTGGGAGCCCTCAGGCATAAGGTTTCCGAAATTTGGGTGGGGGGTGGTCCATGTAGCAAGGATTGTAGCATTTGGAATCTATATTGGGGTACAGCCATTTATGGAAACTGCTATCCGCAAATAGGGGCCGTGTGTGTGTGTGTGTGTGTGCGTGTTCAAGACCAGGACTTACGGTTATTGGATTCCATAGTAGCGGCTGTGTTCGACATTCTAGAACCCTACAATGAGGTTTTACGCTCCAATTCATCATAGACATCTCCAAAAAACCCACTGAAACCAAACCTATTCAAATCCAAAAATGCAACCATTAATGGTACTTGGACCCTTGAGTTGGAATGTGGTCTAGGGCTTAGGATTGCCAGGGTATTTTTGGCAACCCCCAACACCTATAATGGAGAATCATATGAAGCTGCAAACTAGAATAGACTGAGAATCTACTACACCCTAAACCCTAACCCTTTAAGCCATACAGGTACTTGTAACATCAGAATCAGGAGTTTTTGCAACCTTAGCTCATATATGGGCAGGTTACGAAGCCAGAGTGGACCTTTGGGTTAAGGTTTTTGGTTCAGGGCTTAGAGTTTAGGATTGGGGTCGCTTTGGTAGTTTGTTATAAAAGTCCCTGGTATCTTAATCATGGGAACCCATGTCCGACCAAGAATTACATTGGCAACAACTTTTGCTCATATACTTGCCCGTTATAATAACGGCAATATGATGGTCATAGGGTCCCTCTTTTGGGGGTTGGGGTAGCTAAGGTTACATGAAGGTCAGCACAGGATGACTGTAATCCAATGATGGCTATTTGATGGGGGAGGGTTTGGGGTTACCAAATTCTTTTTACCCGAAAACACCCTCAACCCCAAACCGCGAAATCTGGAAATCATGTTCAGGTTCAAAGCATTCCGCAGACTTGTTTGGGCATTGAGACTACACAAACCGTTCTGACATGTTGTAGTGCATGTTCCTGAATTACTAGCTTTTGCAGGTTCTTGTAGTAGTTTTCAATGCCTACACACTACTTGGGGTGACTCAGTAAGTATACAGTAACCCGAGCTATCCCCGTACTGACCTGCTTACAAAGTCCCCCTGACCCTCCAAGCAAGCCCGCATAAATAGCCGGCCAAAGAAGGTGACTCTTCGACCAAGTTCAGCTAGCCGCGTACTGCAGAGGCGATACGGGCCTTTGTTTAGGCTTGGGGTTTAGGGTTTAGGGTTGGCGTTTCACAGCGTTCCGTTCTTTAGACCCCAACCCCGAAACCTTTTCAATGAACCGAGTGGTTTGAAAGGTGATTGCCCACCATGGTTCCATCATCGGGTGCCGCCCGACGCGAGTCCGTGAAACTTGCGCCCTAAGCTAAGATATCTAAGATATGAGTGTGCAAACTGGTGACTACTAGGAAAGGAAGCAATTCAATATAGGGGGTAGTCTTTGGGAAAAAATGGTTGCTATAGGGGAGATCCATTCCTGCTATCCTTGTTGACCACCAGAAAAGATATATGAACTCTCCCCTCATTTAATTCCAGATTTCATACAACTCAGTGTTGGACGTGACGTGATAGGATTTCTAATCCGGAGTTTTTGTACATCCCAGATCCCCAAACAGTAGCCAAAAGTTGAAGCCCATATGGGGTTTTGTCAATATTCGGCTCACCATTAAAGGTGGACATGGGGTCTATGGGGTTGTTTAGTACAGTGTCTGATATATTCCCTAGCACAAAATATGTCCAAGTTTAATTATACGAAAAGTGTTAAGCACTATAGCTCCCTGTTTTAGGTGGTTTCCATTCGGTTTTCCATTATTCCCAGATATTCGGGCTTTGCAAGTACCTGCCCCAAGACCGCCACTGCAGGCTTCCACTGCATAGTCCTGGGTTTGGGCCCATGCCTTGTGGATTTGTCAAATGTGCAGCCTTGTCGCGGTGCTGAAGGGCGTTGCCTCATCTCGTTGTATTTGCCCGCAGGGCAATGAGGTGTTGTAATTGTTGTTATTGTTTTTGTTGTTGCTATTGTTGTACTTGTTGCTGTTGTCTCATTTGTTGTTGTTGTTGCCGTTCTTGCTACTGTTGCTGCTGTTGCTCATGTTGCTGCTGTTGTTGCTGTTGCTGCTGCTGTCGTGATTGCTGTTGCTGTTGTTATTCTTGTTGTTGCCGTTGCTCTTGCTGTTGCTGTTGTCGATGTCGATGTCGTTGTGGTTGTTGTGTCGTCTGTGGCGTGGTTGTCGTTGTCGTTGTTGCGTTTTTTTTTTTTTTTTTTT